GAGTGCAAGGGGAGTGGTTCAAGGCGTATGGAAGTAGCTCTCACAGAGGAATAGAGGCTACTTGAGTAGGAAGTTCAAACTACATCTGGCATTCGAATGCCCATCAAGCAAAAACAAGAGACAACGTTCAAATGCCAGACAACGTTCGAACGTTGTCCCTAGACAGGTTGCATAGTGGATGGCTTTTAGTTGGACTTTGAAGGCCTTACACTATTTTTACACACTCTCTTGTCCCCTCCTCTTTGCCTATAAATACTCCCATTCTGAGAGCTTTAAAGGGAGCTTGAACTGACACTTACACTAGACCAAGACTTGTAGATGTAAAACTCAGGTAAATTTAAACTTTTTTGGAAAAAGGGCAAAATGATAATTTGCCACTATAATGCGGGTTTAAAAGATATTTTTCTAGAGCTCGGATGATGTAATGGACCTCACCGTTGAATTCGTATTGCAAAATCGAGCTACCATGTCAATTTTCGTTGAATTATGAGATAGTCAGATTTTGCACGTTTTATGAAACAATTGGGTGATGAATGACCTCACAAAGGTCCCCAAAAATATAATTTATAAATTTCTTTATAATTAGATAAAATTTCAAATAAAATTAATTTGAATTGAAATCAAGAATTAATTAAGTCATTTTGGGTTAAAAACGGACCCGAAAGTAAAAATGTGTGGGGTAATGTGGACTCCAGAAATAAAAAAGAATAAATAGGGGCTAAATATCTAAAAAATAGATATTCTCACCCACTTGGCCAGCTAAATCAGACGTTGAAGTGAGGAAAGAGAGAGAAGAGAGAAAATCTAGAAATTCTACATTTCTTCTTGCGATACAAGGAGTTTTGTCGGTCGGAATTCATTGAACCAAGAATTAAAGTTGTTCTATGCGACGAGGGCTACGCGTACATACCAAGAACGAATGATTTCACTGTAGATCCAAGGAGGAGATTTTGTAAAATCAAGAGTTTTGTGGCTTGGAAGTGTTTTTGAGGTTCCCTACACTTCATCTCACGCTTCAAGAGGTAGGGTTTCTCCTACCTTGGTTTATTTTCTTACCTAGAATGTTTTTTATAAAATGGGTAAGGGTATGGGATAACCTAAGTCACTTGACTATGGTTAAAGAAAAGAGGAAATGGGTATGGAATTGGCCTAGACCAATTCCTAGCAAAGTTCGGTATTGAGGAAGTACTTGTGTAATCCCATAAAACTTAACATTTTTGGGCACACTAAGCATTCTATTGTTGCCTTCTCGGTGGTTTGCCAAGTAGTACATGAACTTTGTTGAGGATGAATAAGTTGCTACATGTGTTAATATATTAGTATCATGTTGATTTATGGTAATTATATGAAATTGATATTAATTGCCATGACATAAGTGAAAATATGTGGTTAAATGACTCATTTGGCATTCATTGCATTTTGGGCATGATATGACATCACATTCATGGGCTTAGGCATGAGTTGTAACGCCCCAAAAACCCCCTTGGGTGACATTACATTCTAAAAACCATTCACCCCATGAGAGCATTACGTAAATTCATCACGACGAAAGTTCATTCATCAACCATTCATATTTTAACAAAATTTGGGCAGAGTCTCCTTTGTACGGGGAGGTTTACCCAAACACAACCTGTACAATTATATCACAATTGACCACACCGGGTCCACATATGCATAACTATTGACCACACCGGGTCTATTTATCCATCATAAAATAAACTTTCATTCATCATATGTCATATCCACAATGCCATCCCAAAAGAATAGGCCAAGTATGAGGACAGAAAAAACCAGTTTGCTCAGTATTTAATATCAAAGAATATGAGACTGACTCCACACATTGCATAATCAATCGTATCCACCCATTAGCAAAGCCCAATGCTCTCATCATTTTCTCCAAGATTATCCACTCTAATCTGTCATATGCTTTACTCATATCTAACTTCAAAGAAATATGACCCTCATTTCCCCAGTTTTTGCATTTAAGATAATGGTTAATTTCAAAAGCCACAAGGACATTATCAGTTATTAACCTACCCGGAACAAAAGTACTTTGGTTTTCAGAAATAATTGAGGGAAGAATAATTTTCAACCTATTACCTAACACCTTAGAAATAATCTTATAGAGCACATTACAAAGACTAATAGGTCAAAATTGTGACATATGTTTAGGATTTTTGACCGAAGGTATAAGAACGATATGGGTGTAATTTAACTTAGAAGGAAAATCACCCTCATTGAGAAAAGATAACACACAATCCAGGACATCAGTGCCAACCACATGCCAGTACTTTTGAAAGAAGAGTGCTGGCATGCCATCAGGACCAGGGGACTTAGTTGGGTACATTTGAGACAAAGCTAACATTACCTCATCTGCTCTAAAACATTGCATTAGTGTTGAGTTCATTTCGTCAGATACCTTGCGTATCACTTTGCTCAAAACAGCCTCTAATCTGGATCTTGTGGTTTACCCGAAGTGAACAATGATTGAAAATATGCAACAGCTACCTTCCCAATCTCTTCCTGCGATTCACACCACCCTCTGTAATGATTTTTCAAACTCCCTATCCAGTTCGTTCGTCTCCTTTGTGATGCCCAAGTATGGAAAAAAGCGAAATTTTTATCCCCATCTTTAAGCCAATTTATTCTAGATCTTTGATGCCAATACGATTCTTCATGATCCAACAGCTCATCCAATTCAGCTTTCAGTACCTGTTGTTGTTGTCTAACATTTTCAGAAATTGTACCTTCTTGAAGAGTCGCAAGGTTCTTTTTCAATTGCTCAATTTTAGCAGGGACATATACAACAGTTTCTTTTTTCCACTTGAGCAATCCCGTTCTACAATTCTGAATATTTGTAATAATCCCCTGTGCTCCCCTTTGTGATATCCCAAACTCCCATGCTTCCTTAATAACGGCTTCACAATCACTTCTCTTAACCCAAGCCGCCTCAAACCTAAACTTTCTCCTTTGCCAAACATTCGTGTTCAATGGGTTCTTTGCCTCTGTGTCTAAAAGAACTTCGTAATGATCCGAATCCCTACTAAAAATGTGGCGCACCCCAACATTCGAAAAATAGTTCATTCCAATCAGTAGTAGCACACACCCTATCCAATCTCTCCCAAACCATATATGAATGCGACCAATTATTGCACCATGTATATTGGTATCCCTCATACCCAAGATCCATCAAAGCACACCCAACCAGTACATCCCTGAAAGCTCTCATTTGACTATCTGGTCTTTCCCTCCTACCCTTCTTCTCACTGTTTGTAAGAATTTCGTTGAAATCACCGGCACATATCCAGGGTAACTCATACCATGACCTGAGCAAACGTAATAGGGACCAGGATTCTGAACATCTAGACACCTCTGGGCTTCCATAAAATCTAGTAAACCGCCAACAACACTGATCATTATCTCCATCAACAACTACATCAATATGTACCCTAGAAAAACTCAGTAATGAGACACATTCATCCCTCTGCCATAACAGAGCCAATCCCCCTGACAAACCCAGCGGATCAACTGAATCTCCATTCATCCCCAACCTTCTTTTCAGTCTTTCAATACCACCAGCTTTACACTTTGTTTCCATCAAGAAAACAAAATGGGGCCTTTCTTTCTTCACAAAATCGTGAAGAAACCGAATTGTCCAAGGTTGCCCAATTCCTCGGCAGTTCCAACTTAATATTTTCATGGCAATCGGCAGGTCTGGAAACCAGACTCTGCCGTTGGGAGCTTAAGATTTGGAACCGCTTTCCCAAATTATACCTGGTCAAGAGAAACCCTTTTCTTCGAACTCGACTGCCCATCCACCTCCATCGTGTGAACTGCATTTGCTGTTTGTCGCTTATTTCCCACAATTGCCTCCTTCTTTGTTTTAGCTGAGACATTCGGAGCCCTAGCCTGCCGTTTCCAATTTTTCAGATTTTTCCTTCCCTTACTATCTTCCACCAAGACACCTTTTCCCTTGGATTTGTCGTCCTTTTCAACCTCAGTAAGGGTGTGAACCTCAGTGGTCTTAGACTTAACAGTATCCCTTTCAC